ATGGAATGAGGACTGAGGTCGTGACGTTGGGCTCTTGGAGGACTGCACGAGCCTACTGGGAATTTTACTCGATGATGGCTCTTGACCTCTCTTTTTTCCTTTTGAAGGATCAGGCACCTTGGGCTTCGGGCCCTTAGCATTCTGGTTAACATTGGTAAGAAGAGCAGCCGAATTGAAAGACATATCCAAATCTGCAAAAATATCACCAATGCATTAGCTCGAGTTACTGGTCGAGATTAATAAAAAATAGAGGAAGAGATGAGCATACCCTCTTATGTTGGCAAGATCGAGGGTGTCATCCTCGAGAGGATAATCAATCTTATCTGCAACGGGATTGTGATTGACTAACCTTAACCAATCTTTTTGTAAAACCTCGATGTACTCTTGGCCCTCATTGAACTTATCCTTATTCGGAATTTCCCACATCAATTTAAACACATGGTCGGGGTTTTAAGGTTTGACAAAAAAAAATCTGCCTTTCCATCTCCGAAGAGAGCTCGTGGTTTCATGTGTCCTAAACCCCCATGTGGTCGATAAATAGGCAAAATAGTTATACCCAGGTGCGAACTTAAGAACAAATACTACCCTCAAGAGGTCGAGTCTTGGCTCGATCTCGAGATAACTACACAAAATAAAAAAATAAAAAACCAACAGTCTCCAACTATTCGGGACTAATTGACCTGGGTACATTAGGCAAAAATTGAGAAAATGAACGAAGAAGGGATGGAGGGCCCATCTAAGCCCGGCCTTAAGGGCGTATCTGAAAAAAGTCATCTCTCCGTCCCGAGCATCTACTACGGAGTCACTAGGCTCGAGTGTTTTCACATCCCACAGGGGCATAACCCCGACCTCTCTTTATATTTAGTCGACTATCTAGGGTAAGTCAGACCAATCTCAACCTCTGGGTGCGAGCTTAAGGGGACTGCTACATGGATGAGGGCTGCATCCACATCCTTGAGGGTCTTGTGGTCGAGCTCCTAGAAGACTGACTACTACTACTCGACCCCTCACTACTACTACTAGATATTATGTTACTCAAAATAAATAAATTATAAGCTTCAACACTTACCTCTTAAAGTAGTCGCTCACAAACCCTTTAAAGCCCCGACCTCGAATTGCTTTTACAGAGATTTGAAAGTGAAAAAGTGAAAAATGGGGTGGAGGGGGAAAAAGGGGTATTTATTGGGGTCAGAGGAAGGTCAAAGGTCTCACAATCCTGGACTGTAGATTAAGCCACGTGTCAGCCATCCAAGGTCGATCTTCAACTACTCAACAAGCGTCTGACACGTGTCAAACATGGCTGTTACATACATACAAGGTCATTTTCAGGCTGTTCCACCTCGTTGCATCTCATCTAGCAGCTCGAGGACCACAACTTCAGCTGCGACCTAAACGTACGGGGGCCCTACCTTGGCCCATCATTATTGGGCTGGTAGCAAAGTCGGGTCCCGAGTTGAAGTCGGGTTTAGTAGACTAGGTCGGGTGTCAGTCCTAATTCACCCGCCTCTTAACCTTATCGCACGTTTCCAAGGAAGGGTAACCCTATCTGAATACAAATCCCCAACTTATTGCAAATTCGATTATAACCCAAACACCTTCTATACCAAGGATAAGTACCAGAGTTAGTTTAGGAATCAACCCCCAATCTATATAAATACAAGACCTAGCCTCACCATTCAGGTACGCTTTTTAATAATCTTCCAGCATACAAAATTTTGTCATTCCTCTCTCTAACTTAAGTATCGGAGGGTTGACGAGGACACACCTCGACGCCTTTGTTTCAGGTATTGAAGATCAGAGCTCGCAAAGTTCAATCATCCAATTCGAGTCAATCCGGTACGAATTTTGGTAGCATCAAATGGGATAAAAGATTTGATATTTTTATACTCAAAATTTGTTTTAAGATGAGTAAATTTCATGCATATCTGTATTTTAATAACTCTAAAATATACTATGAATTTATTTATTGTTATATGTAGATAACATGTTGCTTGCTAGCTCTAGTAAAGTTGAATCATAAAGATGAAAAACCTTTTAAAATCAAAATTTGGCTTAAAAGACTTAATAGATGCAAGAAAAATTCTTGGCATGGTCATTAAAAGGAATATGGCTAATAATAGGATAACTATTAATCAATAGTTTTATTTGGATAAAGTGATAACCAAAAATGGTATAAAATTTGCTAGGTCTATTAATGTACCATTAGTTGCGCACATGAATTTGTCATATGCACAATGTCCTGAAACTAAAGACTAATTGCATGGGATTAGTAATGTTTCCTATGCTAATACCATTGGGTCTATGAAGTATTCTATGATTACCATGAGATCGGACGTTGCATATGTAGTTAGTTTCTTGAGTAGCTTTATGTCTAACCTAGGTAAACCTCATTGGAGTGTACTTAAATGGCTATCAAAGATACCTAAATCGAACTTTAAAAGGGGGGTTAGGTTGAATGGAAGTGAAAAATTATAGCTTAAGGAATATGTATATTCTGACTTTGCAGAGGATAAAGATAAAAGGAAATCTACCACTTCTTACTTCTTCACTTTAGGTGATAATTGTATAACTTAGAAATCACAGTTGTAATCTATAGCTACACTTTCCAACACTAAAGCAAAATATGTTGCATTAACTAAAGCTATAAAAGAGTGCATGTGGCTGAAAGGCCTTCTATGTAAATTAAACTTTTTGAATGATAATGTTATGATTTTTACTATTAGTCAAAGTTAACTGATGGTGTGTAAAAATCATGTTTATCATGAAAGTTATAAGCATATTGATGTGAAGTATCACTTCATTAGGAAGAAGTTAGCTTTTGGTGATTTTATTTTCTAATTAAGTAGGTTGAGTCCGTCTCTTAAATTTGATCCATGAATTAATTAATCCAATTAATTCAGACATATTAACAATCAACTCAAATAATTAATTCTTCAATATTTGTTAATTAATCAATTGGTTAATCTTATTTTTCCAGTTCTTCTTTTGTGTGTAACACATTAAGTTCCTGACCACGATGCCTAACAACGTGAATTTTTTTTATCTAATCAAAATCGATAAATTAAAATACTATTTTTTTAATTTATCACCAATCTATATATGTCGTCCCAAACTGACAATGTGTCGGGCAATACATGTGACGAGAAATGCAACTTGTTATGATAAAATCAAATTTGTTTGTTTACTGTGAACCTATAATTCTTTCGTCAATATGATCAGATAAATTATGAAATATGGATATGTGTCAATCTTGATTATCGATTATATCTTTTATCCCACTATTAAGTCAATTTAAATCGAAATCTACTATTCGACTTATGAGTACACCATGATCAAGGATTTTGTTATCAACTTAATTGAATGAATATAGATCATAATCTCTTATTATTTAAAAGTGACGAATTTTCTATTAATCATTCAAAACCTTCATATTATTTTTTACATACTCAAACGACATCGTATTAACGACCTTTAGCAAAACAACATCCAGTATCACCAAAGTATACCTTCATATAAGGCACTATAATGACCTTAAGTCAAATGATTAATTCTACTACCTAGCTCTAAAGATTAACCACTGAAACACAAATAGTTATCCATACGGAATTTGTTCTATAACAAAACATTCACGTGTTCATTTAAGTGTCACCACACTTTAACTCGTGAGATTAGTTACCTACTTCACAAGTAAGAAATATCACACATGATGGTTTGGAGTTCTGTACAATTTTCTCACTCTTGCAAGCCCTGCAGGTTCCTTAATATTCTTATGTCTCATTGCTAGCAACATACATATGGCATCGAGGTAGAGAAGCAAGCTCACAGCCTCCATCAACGACAACATAGTTTGAAATCAGTTTTATCGAGTTTTGTCTCTATGGAAGAACTCTGAAGTGTGAAAGAGCCATTTGCTACTTCTTGACTTCCTTGATAATGTCAGGACTTTGCTTTGTTGCAATTGTTTTAAGCACGATTCTTGTGTATCGGACAAAGATTGTCTATCTCACCTATATGGAAGATCTCAAACGTAATTGTGCCTTTATTGCACAATTGTGCCTTTGTTGCAGTTGTTTTAAGCATGATTCTTGTGTATCGGACAAAGACTGTCTATACTCACCTATATGGAAGATCTCAAACGTAATTGTGCCTTTACAAGTTAAAAGTATGGGAGAGATCCAAGGTTTCTGAGGATTTTTCGTTGACTAGCCGTGTTCCTAAAAGTATTTGTGGGAGAGAACAATCCAATAGTACATCTTTCAGCTAGAGAGAGGACGGGGTACATCTTGTATAATAGTTAATAGTATACCACTTTGAATAACAAGTAATTTTGTGATTGGGACCTTTTATCACGACTTTTGCTAGTTGCATACCCCGATCTTCTATTGTACGAATAATAGTTGCTGCTGCAGTTAGAGTGGCAAAGGGTGTCCGAGATATTGAGAGACGACCTATATTTACAGTTTTATGTTCAATTGTTGTCTGTATTTCTATGACTAATTGAAAGTCTTTGGAAAAATTTTGATTCCAAAGGCCAGTTTGCTGAATAAATCTATTGTTACTCTAGAGGTCTCAATTCACAGTTTCAAATGTTCTTCATTATCATGTCCTACATTATGGTTCACAAGATTGTACTTCCAGTTCGAATAGTAGTACTTCATCACAATCTGTAACCACCTTTTTGGCATTTGGCTTTAAATTACCCAAACTTCACATAGTACGAGGAATAAGATAGCACATTGAACCACCTTATCTACAAGCTTGACTATTGGAAAGAGAGAAAAAAAATTTGTTTGTATTTTGTATTCCACGGATATGAATTTTACTTGAACAACACTATTTTCAACACTGATATTTTATGCAATGGTTGAATGACAAAAAACCGGAACACAGATTGTCTGCACGAAACGGAAAACTACAAACAATTTAATACATTATTGTCCAGAGTATTACTTGGGTGAGTGCTCTCATGTTTTATTTTAAACTTTTTGTATGAAATTGATTTATGAATTGAACCTTGTACAATCCAACCTTATTTCTCCTCGATTTCCAGTTTTAACACCTACCCTGCCAAGATTCCTCATCGCAGTGATAAAAGCTCCACTGAAGACGGAGGGGTTGCTCGCGAAATCATTTACAGTACGTTGGGATGCTGGGTCGGTGAACAGAACCTGATCCGAAGTGAACAGTCCTTTCCCTCCAACCAGATTCTGAAAGTATACGTTGTCGAAAGTTTGAGGAGTAACAGGATCCATGTTAATAGCTATGGATGGATCAACGTTTTGCGGGCAGGATTGCATCAACTGCTGTGCATAATTAGGATCCAGGGTTGGATCAACAGGGGATGATGGTGAAAACGAGTAAATGCGGTTTGCGAAACGATTGCAGTGGGAAAAGCCAATGGTGTGAGCTCCTGACAGTGCAATCATATCAAGTTGCGAGAGATTGTGTTTGGCAAACATAGAATTGAGGCTGTTGAGATCAAAGTTCGGCTCTGGTAAATTTCCAGAAACTCCAGATGCTTTGGAGACGAGTCCATCTCGCCTTCCCAGTTCCACAGCGAATGGAAGACCTCCTGCCTGAACAAATTTGTAAAATGTAGAACAAAGTCAGAGAATCTCAAGAGAGTCGATGAATTAAAGAAAATATTTACCGAGATGATGTCGAAGGACATTGCTTGATTACCAAAACAACCACGTCTCGAGCAGCGATGGTTAAAACGTCCGCACATGATACTACCCCGGGGCACTGTGCCTCGACTGCTTGTTTAGCCTTGATCACAGTATCAAAGCCATCTCCGGCCAAGGAAAGATTATCTGGAGCATCCTTTTCAGCATCATTATTTGGTGAAGCTATAAGAACAGAGGCGTCACATCCCTACAAATCAGAACAGATGGAGAAATTTATAATCAAATGAAGCCGGCTGAACAACTCGATTCTTTAAGGGTAACACGTGTCAACGAATTTCACTTTTTTCAACATCAGATAGTTGCTTTTCTAATTTCTCAAATGTGCATAATTATCACTAAAATTGTCATCAAATCTAAGCAATTAACCATATTCATGCATAATTTAGCCCCTGTTTGACTACCATTATTTTCAAACTCATTTTTCCTAGCATTTTTTTCAACCACACAATCACACAATAAAATATTTAGTACGTAAACTCAAAACTTTTCCGTACTTTTTAACCACATATTCTCCTAAAAATCACTATTCAAAACATGGTTTTTCCCATTTAATGGTTGTCAAACAGGGGCTAAATGTCTGTCGTATCCTTTGATTCAGTGTTAACAATTTAAGATATAAAATGAGCTCATGAAATTGTATAGACTTGGATATTCAAACTACTTCTATGATCTCAATAAGCAATTTTCAGTATTTTCTAATATGTTGCTGTAAACGTTGAATCATTTGTTGGGAAGTTTCCTCGTCCTACTTTGTCATCTGGTGTTTACAGAACTTAGAAAAGTAAACATTTTTGTAGGTTTTGGGACATGAAGGGCATGTTTGGTACATTCTAGTATAAGAAATTTCATTTTTCTTCCTTAGTCGAGAATAACTACTGACCTCAACAAAACAGTCATGGAAAAAGAGACGAAGAGTTGCCGGAACTGTAACGAATGTTTGGCTTAACTTTGTGGCCACAGCCTGCCGAACAATGGCTTCTACATTTGGACAAGTTGAACTGTAAAAATTCTCCCTCAATTGCCCTTCTCCGCTCACCAAAAGTATGAATACCATTAACAAACACAGCCATTTCCATGTCTTCATCTCTCTCTCTCTCTCTGTTGCTTGTGTAGACTTAAATGTGTGTATATATATTGGAGAAGTGGATTAGAATAATGAAAAAAGAAGGGTGACTCTTCAAACAATCTTCAGTTTCTGTTATAGAATGTTTCTTGGTCTATGCCTCCACCACAGTTGATAAGAAAAATTAAGCAGCCATCCACAGAGAAATAATTGCTTTTTAAAAGGAAATAAGATTAATTTTTCCCCAGTGGGTATATCCCTAAGTCAACCTTTTCATTTCCTCTTACTTGTCAGAGAAGTAAAACAATTACTATTTATATGTAATTTCTCACCTTATTGTCATAATTTACTTATTTTTAACTTTCATAAAGCCAAAAAAATTTAAAAATTTACTTACAAGTAAATTAATTAACCTTAGCCAAGGCCAAGGCTAAGGTTACTGGTCTTGCATTGAAGTGTTGAAATATTATCATAATGCCAGTTGATGCTTGCATTTTTAGTCAACAACAAGAAGGGTTAATTAACATACATAAGTGAAAATGACAGGTTAACAAATCTTGGTTGTACCAATTCAGAGTTTCCACATGGAGAAAAAAATATTAACTTAGTTATTCTCACACGACATTGCAATGTCCCTAAGGTCAAACAAATGCAATTTCTAGTACATTACACTTTTGTTACTTACCAAACAAACCCATGTTTAGAAGGAAAAAACTTATATGTTATAGGGTGCAACCTTTTCTCTTCTCGGTATACTGAAATTCATATGTTTCGACACTTCAGTAATAGAATATGTGGAAAGAAGAAAAAGAAGTTAGAATTTTGGAGTTTTATCTCCTATCTTCTCGGCTAATTATAAGCGCTATCGTTTAGCACTCTTTATCAAATATATTACAACTTTTGCCTTTCTAACTAATTATCGACAAAAATTCTTTAAATAATATTGTAAAATAATTTCGTAGGACTTCTTAGCCAACATAACATTTTTCTTAGTGAACTAGATAGAAGAAAAAGTATATTTTGATATCAACTATTCTTTCATGCAATTTGTTTTTACTATAATCAAGACATTAATCAAATTGCAAATGTTATAATAAGATTAGGGAGTGAGGAGGATTGCTTACGTACGTAGAGTAATGCCGCGTGTTCGAGAAATGTGTTGATTAGTTCATTCTTTGAAAAGTTCCTTGTAATTATCCATTAATTGAGATTAACAAGCTACAAAAACTCTCTTAGCTGAAAATGAGTATATAATTTTTACGTTAGTGCGTTCACATATATATTGAATAATTTTTAATATTATTTAATTAAATATTAATAAACGATATCGTTTTTACGATCGCTGATTATTGGCGGTCATTTGTCAACGTCCGTTCGGGCTGAACTTCAATGCTGGGTCCGCCACTATATTTGACAGTGAGGCAAAGAAGCAAGCTCACGGCCTCCATCACGGACAACATACTTTGAAATCAGTTTTATCAAGTTCTCTTTGTGAGTGAAGGTGCCATTTTCTACTTCTTGGCTACCTGGATAATGTCTGGACTTTGCATTGTTGCAGTTGTTTTGAGCATGATTCTTGAGTATAGGACAAAGATTGTCCATACTCACCTATATGGAAGATCTCGAACATAATTGTGCCTTTACAAGTTAAAAGTATGGGAGAGATCCACGGTTTCTAAGGATTTTCCGTTGACTGGCCGTGTTCCTATAATTGGGACTTTTATCATGACTTTTGCTTATTGCATACCCTAATCTACTATTGTACGAATAATATTTGCTGCTGTTGTTAGAGTGGCAATCGGTCTCCAAGAGATTGAGAGACTACCTATATTTACAGTTTTATGTTCTGCAGTTTTATGTTCAATTGTTGCCTGTATTACTATGACTAATTGAAAATCTTCGGAGAAATCTATTGTTACTCTAGAGGTCTCATTTCATTGTTTCAAATGTTCTGCACTATCATGTCCTGCATTATGGTTCAGAAGATTGTACTTCCTGTTCAAATAGTAGTACTTCATTACAATCTGTAACCAGCTTTTTGGCATTTGGCTTTAAATTACCCGAACTTCACATGGTACGAATAAGATATCATATTGAATCACCTTATCTAAAAGCTTGAACTATTAGAAAGAGAAAAAAAATTGTTCGTATTTTGTATTCCACATATATGAATTTTATATGAACAACACTATTTTGAACACTGATATTTTATGTAATGGTTGAATGACAAAAAACCAGAACACAGATTGTCTGCACCAAATGGAAAACTATAAACAATTTAATACATTATTGTCCAGAGTATTACTTGGGTGAGTACTCTCATTGTTTTTATTTTAAACTTTTTGTATGAAATTGATTTATGAATTGAACCTTGTACAATCCAACCTTATTTCTCCTCGTTTGCCAGTTTTAACACCTACCCTGCCAAGCTTCCTCATCGCAGTGATAAAAGCTCCATTGAAGAGGGAGGGGTTGCTCGCGAAATCATTTACAGTACGTTGGGATGCTGGGTCGGTGAACAGAACCTGATCCGAAGTGAGCAGTCCTTTCCCTCCAACCAGATTCTGAAAGTATACATTGTCGAAAGTTTGAGGAGTAACAGGATCGAGGTTAATAGCTATGGATGGATCAACGTTTTGCGGGCAGGATTGCATCAACTGCTGTGCAAAATTAGGATCCAGGGTTGGATCAACAGGGGATGATGGTGAAAACGAGTAAATGCGGTTTGTGAAACGATCGCAGTGGGAAAAACCAACAGTGTGAGCTCCTGACAGTGCAATCATATCAAGTTGCGAGAGATTGTGTTTGGAAAACATAGTATTGAGGCTGTTGAGATCAAATTTCGGCTCTGGTAAGTTTCCAGAAACTCGAGATGCTTTAGAGATTAGTCCATCTCGCCTTCCCAGTTCCACATCGAATGGAAAGCCTCCTGCCTGAACAAATTTGCAAAATATAGAACAAAGTCAGAGAATGTCAAGAGAGTCGATGAATTAAAGAAAATATTTATCGAGATAATGTCGAAGGACATTGTTTGATTACCAAAACAACCACGTCTCGAGCAGCAATGGCTAAAATGTCCGCACATGATACTACCCCGGGGCACTGTGCCTCAACTGCTTGTTTAGCCTTGATCACAGTATCAAAGCCATCTCCGGCCAGGGAAAGATTATCTGGAGCATCCTTTTCAGCATCATTATTTGGTGAAGCTATAAGAACAGAGGCATCACATCCCTACAAACCAGAACAGATGGAGCAATTTATGATCAAATGAATCCCGCTGAACGCATCGATTCTTCAAGGGTAACACGTGTCAATGAATTTCTCTTATTGCAACATCAGATATTTGCCTTTCTGATTTCTCAACTGTGTGCATAATCATCATTAAAATTGTCATCAAATATATGCAATTGACCATATTCATGCATAACTTAATGTCTGTCGCATCCTTTGATTCAGTTCAACAACTTAAAGATATAAAATGAGCTCATGAAATTGTATAGGCTTGGATATTCAAACTGCTTCTATGATCTCAATAAGCAATTGTCAGTATTTTCTAGTATGTTGCTGTAAACGTTGAATCCTTTGTTGGGAAGTTTCTCGTCTTACTTTGTCATCTGGTGTTTACAGAACTTAGAAAAGTAAACATTTTTGTAGGTTTTAGGACAAGAAGGGCATGTTTGGTACATGCTAGTATAAGAAATTTCCTTGCTTAGTCGAGAATAACTACTTACCTCAACAAAACAGTCATGGAAAAAGAGACGAAGAGTGCCCGGAACTGTAATGGTTGTTTGGCTTAACTTTGTGGCCACAGCCTGCCGAACAATGGCTTCTACATTTGGACAAGTTGAACTGTAAAAATTCTCCCTCAATTTCCCTTCTCCTCTCACCAAAAGTATAAATACAATGAACAAACACAGCCATTTCCATGTCTTCATCTCTCTCTCTGTTGCTTGTGTAGACTTAAATGTGTGTATAAAGAAAAAAGAAGGGTGACTCTTCAAACAATCTTCAGTTTCTGTTATAGAATGTTTCTTGGTCTATGCCTCCACCACAGTTGATAAGAAAAATTAAGCAGCCATCCACAGAGAAATAATTGCTTTTAAAAAGGAAATAAGGCCCGTTCGGGAGNTCGGGAGTGATTAAAAGTCAATTAAAATTGAAAATATGGCCGTTATTGGGTTCCACTTGTCTAATAAAAGTCAACAATAACGACTATATTTTCAATTTTAATCCGATTTTAATCACTCCCATTCAAGGCCTTAAGATTACTTGTCAGAGAAGTAAAATAATTACTATTTATATGTAATTTCTCACCTTATTGTCATCATTTACTTATTTTTAACTTTCATAAAGAAAAATAAAAATAAAAATTTACTTACAAGGAAATTAATTAACCTTAGTGCTGGACAAAATAACTTATTTATATATATTTGGATTATTAACTTGTTATATTTCTAAAATTAGGCTATGCAACTTAATCTTGGTGACATTTGTCTATTAGGTTATTGTGATGAATTATTTTATTTAAAAAAGTTTAATTGTGGGACAAGACTATTTCGATCGAAAAGAGAAATTTAAAAAAAAAAAAAAAAATGTGTAAAGATGTAAAGATCTTAATCATGCAATTGATTTTGGTAATGACATAATCCCACTTGTAATTAAATGTTAATAGCATAGCCCATGTGCCAATAATATTGTTATAGCTCATAAAACTTTGCACTAAACGTCAAGGCCACTATTGCATCAAGAGGATGATTCATATTGCACTCACGAGTTAAGATTTAGTTGCTAGTGCCATATTTTAAAATTGAATGCTACATGTCTTAGATTCTGGCCTCTCGAATTATTTGAAAATGTTTAATATCTTGTATTAGCCTTTATTTCATTTTAGTAGAAATGAAAAATAAAATAAAAAATAAAAAAAACCCTTTTCCTATAACCACGAAAATGGACTTCTTACAATTGAATTATGGGAATATGAGTCTCTTTCATAAGTTATTACAACCTAAGTCGTCAAGCTCAGATTTTATCGTAACTCATATTTTAATTTTAACTTGAGTGATAAATAGAAAAAATCTCGTATTTTGAGATCAAAACAACCTATGAACGAGAGCCCGATGAAGTTGTAATTGTATCTATATAATTTGAAGAAACTCTTTAAAAACTTATTTTTCCGCCAATTCACTTTCAACCATACATTTTTAGTCGACAAGAAGAATTGTTAATTAACATACATAAGTGAAAATGGCAGATTTTGGTTGTAACAATTCAGAGTTTCCACATGGAGATAAAAATATTAACTTAGTTATTCTCACACGATATTCCAATGTCCCTAAGGTCAAACAAATGCAATTTCTAGTACATTACACGTTTGTTACTTACCAAACAAATCCATGTTAAGAAGGAAAAAAACTTTATAGGGTTCAACCTTCTCTTCTTCTCGGTATACTGAAATTCATATGTTTTGACACTTTAGAAATGGAATATGTGAAAGAAGAAAAAAAGGTTAGAATTTTGGAGCTTTATCTCCTATCTTCTAGGCTAATTATGAGCTATCGTTTAACACTTTGTATCAAATGTACCACAACTTTTGTCTTTCTAACTAAATATCGACAAAAATTCTTTAAAAAATATTGTAAAATAATTTCATAGGACTTGTTAGCCAACATAATATTTTTCTTAGTAATCTAGATGGAAGAAAAAGTATATTTTGATTCTTTCATCCAATTTGTTTTTACTATAATCAAGACATTAATCAAATTGGAAATATTATAATAAGATTAGGGATTGAGGAGGATTGCTTACGTACGTAGAGTAATGCCGCGTGTTCGAGAAATGTGTTGATTAGTTCATTCTTTGAAAAGTTCCTTGTAATCCATTAATTGAGATTAACTCTCTTAGCTGAAAATAGACTCCAAAGAGACTTTTCTTTGGGAGTGTCCAAAAATTTCGAATCGAATCGAGCGGTTCTTTATAAGTTAAATACTCGAACGAGTACCCGAATCGAGAACCGATGTGTTTGGGTTTGGGTTTGGTTTCGGTTTCGGTTTCAATTCTAGACCAAGAACCGAATAAGACTCAAAACTAAATAATTTTTTTTATTTTTTATATTAAATTAATTAAATGAAATTATTTTTTTTAAGCAAATTAGCAAATTAATTAAATAAATCAGATCGTTTCATAATTTTAATTTTAAAGCCCAATACCCAAATCATTTTTAAAGCCAAAATCATTTTAAAGTCCATTTTAAAGACAAGAAAAAGTGGAGTTCGGAATCCTTATGCAGTTTTTGATATGGATCACCGATATTTTAATATTAAAATCTACTTTTTGGTATTTGTATGCATTGAAATAATTTTATTGGATGGCTAGTTATTTATATGTTTTTGAATTGGGTTACGTTAATTTATAAAAATTACGAATGGAATGTCATTAGTTATATTTATGTAGTGTTACTGTAAATGTTAAAAAAATTTAATTATGGTATGGAACCGAACCGAACGGAACCAAACCCGAATCGAACGGTTCCATAATTATATTTAGACCCAACGGGTCCATTTATTAAATACCTAAAAGTTTTGGGTCGGTTCGGTTCTCTTCAGAATCGAATCGAACCGACCCACGAACAGCCCTACTTTTCCGATAATGGGATTTACCCCATATTTGAAGTTTAATACCGCAAGCAAAGCAAAGAACGCACTCCAAGTTTGAAACTAATACAAGATTATAATTATAAGTTATGTACTCATTTTTCTTTAGTTTCTTAAATCTTGATTGGTACATAAGTTATTATTCAATTTCAAGGTCTTTGTAGCTTACTAGTTAATATGAATTACGTGTAAATCATCATTAATTTGGAAGTTAGGGACAATTATTTGATTAATCAAGCGTTAGTGAGTATGTGATATGCAATTAAATATACTAATAATAATCTCAGTTCATAAATAATTGCCACATGCAATTAAATATGCCAAAATCTTATTGGCTACGGCATTATAAATAAATTTCCCCCAGCTCGTGACAACCCTAGCCAATTCATGCCGAGTTAAGTACCTCTCAAATCAAATTTTATACGTGTGGTATTCCACCGTCCAGTTTTGAATAAAATTTCTTTACAATATCTTAATTCTCTTACATAATATTCAATAAAACGTTATCTTATCGTTTTTTTTTTTAAGTAAACTTTCACGTCAAAGACCATACTTTTAAATTTTTAAGTCTAGCCTCTGTTTGATGCACATTAAAATGTAAAGAATGTAATTTTTTTTTTTTTTTTGTGATAGTCTAGCCCCTGTTTGATGCACATTAAAATGTAAAGAATGTAATTTTTTTTTTTTTTTTTGTGATGTGATGATGAATATGTGGTTAAAAAAATAAAAAGTTATTTATGTGATTAAAAATATTATTTTATTAAAAATGTGTGATTGAAAATGAGTAGAAGAATGAAAATATGGCTCAAACATGGGCCTAATATATGATTCCCATGATTTAGAGGTTAATTACAGTGGAGAGGTCACTGAACTTTCAACCTAATTACAATTGGATCATTGAAATTCAATTTGAAGCAATCAAGTCGCTAAATTTTAATTTAAAATCACCGTGCCACTTTGTTTGGACTAAATTCACTAACGTGTCCATGCGAGTCAGCAAATTAATATCACTAGAGGTCATTGAATCTTCAACCTAGTTACAATCTAATCATTGAATTTTACCTTAGTTACAATTGGGTCACCAAACTTTACCCTAATTGGCATGACAACGTGTCCATTCCATTACGTATTTTATTAATGTTATATCATTGGGTAAAATTATTCCCCGTATGGTTTGGTAGAGATTCTTTAAAATTCGATTTTTTCTCAATTTTATTTTTAACAACACATTCTTCTAATAATATAATTTTGCATGTGAATCAATAAATTTTCACTATTTTTTAACCACAAATTCTTTAAACAAAATAAATTTTCATAAAATTTATTAATTATCAAAAAATCTGCATCAAACAGCCTATTGCTTTTAAGCACTACCTGGTGCAATTTATGTCAACATTTCAACTAAAAGAATTCGGGCAACTTGCAAAAATACTCTTAAAATTAGTGATCTTTTGAAAAATCATATGTAAAGTATTTTAAAAGTAAAAAAGAATATTGTGTAAAATTAATTGTCACTTTTTTTATTAAAAGGTGACGCAATGTCACATTTTATTTGTCACTTTTTAATACAAAAAGTAACGCATACAATGTCATTTTTATTATAAAAAAAAAATGACGTTTGTCACTAAAAAAAGTGACAGATTAAAGTGACAAACACTAAAAAATAGATAAAAATTCAAAAAAAGTGACAAACACTCGAAAAAGTTACAAAAATTCAAAAAAGAAAAATTCAAAAAATGACAAAACGCCAATTAAAACATTGGAATTAGTTCAATAAAGTGACCAAAAAAAAAATGACATAACCACCGTTTCTACGCTTTCTTCATTTTCCGTCAAACATCTTTAAGTTAGTTCACCAACAAAATATCAATCAAAATACCAAGCATGGTTAAGTCAATTCATCACCACCATCATCTACCAACTCAACCAATCCCTTAATCATACAAAAAGTTTTTTTGAAGTAAAAAAATCTTGTATAGAGTTAAGTGTCACATTTTTATTAAAAATGATATACGATGTCACTTTTATTAAAATTGATGTTTGTCACTCAGAAAAAAAAAATGACAGAATTTTCAAAAAAGTGACGTAAATTCAAAAAAGTGACAAAATCTCAAAAAACTGACAAAACATCAATCAAAACCTTAAAAAGTGACAGAAATTTTAAAAAAAAAGCCGAAAATTCAAAAAAGTGACAAATTAAGTTCGTATTAATAATTCAACATTCCACAAAACCCACAAAAGTGGAACGTGAACGTAGTCGACCATAGAGATCTTTGTTAATGATT